AGCAGCATGCCAGAGCTTTCCGTTCTTTGCAGGGTATTCACCGATGTCTAGATTCTCCTTAGGAATGGGTGTCACAGAGCTGCCTTTTTCTTCCACAGGCAAAGCACTTTCATTCAAATTATCATTGAATTTGTGCTCCATGTTGGAGGAGAGGCCAGCGTCCCTGTAATATAAAAAAGGGAAATAAATGTGTAGTAAATTAAAACAGATAATCAAATTATACTTGAATTGGAAACAAATACAATAAGCACTTGGTCCAACAATGCAGTGGTTATGAAGTAGTTATGAAGTGGTGGTGAAGCTGACAGAGAAGGAGGCTGGTGGGGAGGGAGGGAGGGAGGGAGGCAGCAAGAGGTTCTGACTCACTCACAACTGAAAATGGAGACAGAAAAAAGGCCAACGGAACCACAGTCATCGTTTTATATCATTACTGGAGGAAGTACTGTGCTCTTCTATTTTCAGATAGAAGACCAAGTATTAAAAAAACACTGTCATATGTAAAAGCCATGCATTCAAAACCTTCCTTCAGTAAAAGTAAGTGTATGATGAAGAAGTATAAGGTAAAAGTACTTGCTAGGCAGCTAAATGGACTCTTTAGTTGTTACATTATTACGTAGTATAATTATTAGATTATTATTATTGATGCAGTAACGTGTAAGATGCATTTTAATACGATAAGATAATCCTTTAATAGTCCCACAGCAGGACATGTTGCAGTATTACAGCATCAAAGAGGAGAGAGCACCAACAAGAGGCATCAGTATGAAACAAAACAAGAATATTAAATAAGTAATTAGCAGTGAAGATATTATAAATAAGTAAAATAAGATATAATCGGACTGTTGTAATGTTGTAGCTGGATGCAATAGAGCTAATTTTATTCATTTGCATACTATTGGTTTAATTGACCGTATAACACTGCATAGCATTTCATATACTCAGTGAAGAAGTACGTTCATTTCCCTCTGACATGTGGTGGAGAAATCAAAACTATACTTCAGTAAATGTATTAGTCACTGTACTTTCCACAACTGATTGTTACCATTCTGTACCAAAAAAGAAGAAAAGAGCGCAACTGACTGAGAAAGTTAGTAGCAGTGGAATAGTTAGTCTGGAGCCCTGATAGGCCGTACTGCTTTTTGTTTATAAGTGCAAATAACGCTCAGATTTAATCTCTGTTATTGAGTGTTCAGTCCAACAAAGCATGCTGGCTACAGTGGTAAATATGGTATTTTTTAAGGTTTTGTCAAACCGGTAAAACCGGTAAAAGCACGATTTTACTCTGCAAGTCAGTTCAGGCAGAGACAAAAACAAGCAAACAGAGGTGGGGGGGTATTTAAATTATTGGACTGAAATGAAAATGCAGGCTGAGTCATATTTTGTCAGTTATTGGGTATTGATGATCAGTGCCAGAAATCAGGAAGCATTTCAGCCGGGGTGTTTTTCTAAGAAATGTTTTCCAATCCTCTCTACAGCTAACCTGAACCCTACACCTCTTCTGTGACACTAAAACATGACTGAGCTACATCAAGGGGCTTGTACTACCTTCCATAACCAGTAAGTCAATGCCAGGCAGGAGGTCAGTAGTATTTGACTTTCTCTCTGTGAAAGAAAGATAAAGCCACAATTACTTTAAAGTGGTATCGGTCTACTTTTACGGCCTACAATGAATGACTCTGAAGACTTATGTTGTTTTCTTTTTGTCACTTGTCAAATCAGGCCAAGTTTATTTGGAACGCTTGCTTATTGGACAACCTTTTGGGTAATCAAATGTGCGTGAATGGGAGGAAGAAAACTGAAGAACAAGGAGAAGCATAGAGAGAAAGAGAAAAGAAGGAAGTTGTGTCTGAATGTCTAACCACATACGCCTACGAACACAACTTACCGAGGACAATTAGCTCCGTGAAGTCTTCACTGTTTCCCGAAAGGTCCTGGGCAGAGATCACAGAACAGACGTATACGCCGCTGTCGCCCCATGCCGTCTGTGCGATATTCAGGTCTGCATCTGTGGGAAACAATAGATACACAGGTTTGACTTGTCTTTTAAAGTGGCTACAGTATTAATATGTACTACTATTACAATCGCATAATTGTGGGACCTGATAATTAATGTTAAGTTGCAGTATCAAGAAAAAAAAAAAACTACACAAATATTTGTTCCCATTTTGAATATGTGTATTCTTCGACGTTGTGTCCTCTCTGCCATTCAACTCCAATCATATCTTACTATGCCTTAACTGTAACATTAGGGTCTCAGTGGTGGAATTGGCATTTTCATACATTTAGCAAAGATGAACAAAGTACAGATCCTAATGACTGCTCTGTTAAACCAGGTACATATCTGGTCAATTCCTAAAAAAAAAAAAAAAACACATTTCAAGTGAAAATTGAAACAATAATGTCTTTGTCAAATGCTAGGCTGAACCACTCAGTTGAATAAATGAGTGTTTGTCAAACGGATTGCATGGACTAGACAGACTCTTGGGATTACTTAAGCGCTACACAGCAGTGTGTGCGTGTGTGTGTTGCAAGGTTCAAGCACAGTGTTTCATTGTTAAGCTCCTGGCACAACTCAATCTGGGCCTAGAGAAGTGGATTTGGCAGTTTCACCACCCAAATCTGTTGATACTGTGCATGCATTTTTTTAAATCTCAGTAATAATGCAAATTTGTTTTTAGCATGTTAAAGTTGTAGACTATCATAAGTGATCATACTTTTATTCTGCTCATTTTCAAGGCCTCCCCTCGCCTAGTCTCTACTCCAGCTACGTCACTGAGCTGCATGTGCACCAGGTCGTTATCTGAGTCACCGTCTGGACCTGCAGCATAATCCAAAATCTCAGGATGATCCCGCCTTCGGCATCAAAACCACAAATCTTTGGAACGAGCTCCTGAAGGAGATCAGGCCAGCAACTTCACTGGTAACTGTTAATTATCAGCTAATGCATTGACCTTATTTACTTACACCTGTACTTACTGAGCACTTGTCCACTTGTGATATTTTACAAATGACTTCATTTGATCTTGTTTTATTGATATTGCGACTGTTTTAACTTGCAGACTTCACAGATTGAGAAATACCACAAAAATGTCAGCTGCACAATGTGGTTTAACTTTCATGGTGGCCGTATAAATTATAATAATGGACAGCTATTGCTTTAAAAGCTGAGGTCAGTCATCATCATTTTATCAGAACGTCAGCACATTTCTAAATAATTAATTTTCTCGTTAATCCGCCACCCCGGAGGGTAAGTAGCGAGGGTCCATTACAGAATAACAACCCGGCGGCAGTGTGTAGATGACGGGAACTTGAACAGGACACTGAAAAGGCACATCATAAATCCACTAGTTTCAGGATCTTCCTTCTCTTCTTTTCTTCTCTTCCATGTTCCTATTGAGTGCATTTAACTTGGCCTGCGCTTATTAACAATATGACTATGCGACGAATTAATCTTTGAATGTTGAAAATGAATCCATGCAACAGTGGTACGACTAATCATGTCCATCCTAACAGCAAACCTTTCTGTCCCACGTGGAAATATTCATGCTAATTCAGTTTGGGAAGCAGATTTACAACGATATCAAATTGGGAAGAAGTCACACAAAGCTCTGACGTGGTGAGAAACTAGTGTGTTCACAACATTTACAGAAATAAATACGAGGGAACACGGACAACTTCTGACACAGTTCAAATAATTGTGTGAAGGAATTGAATTGATATTCAAGTTGATCTTCCTCTAATGCTGTGTCAACTCAAAGATATTTCATTTACACTAACATCACAACTGGACAACTGGCATTTTTGCTTGAAATTGACTCAAATTATTCGTCAAAATAGTTGCCAGATCAGTTGCAAAACAACATATTTTTTTATGTATTTTATTCTGCCAAGTAAAAAAAAATAAAGAAAGGTCATCCTCAGTCTTTACTAACATCTGAATGAGACTTCAGTGTGTACGTTTTCATCAACTCACTGTTTAGGATGCTGATCTTGCGACCCTGGTAATCCGCACCGAGGGTAACAGCATTGCCTTGCTTGGAGGCCACTGTGCGCACCGTCCTCTGGCTGTCGGCACACTCGATGTTGGCGTCGTAGTTGGGGTTGTTCTGAGACAGGATGTTCTCTGCACTGCTGGGATTGAACGCAGCCTGGATGGGGTCGCGGCAATATGATTTGTACCTCCACGTGACAACGGGAGGCTGAGGGGCGGTCGTCTGGTAGTTGCAGGTGAGCGTGACGGGCTGGAAGAGGATGACGATGTACCTCTTGGTGGGACACTGGACCGAGATGGCCATGGTGGTCTCTGGGAAGAGATATTTGGGAGATTTAGAATAACCAGGCTGAGCGGCAGATGATGATTATTATGGTTATCAAAATCCCATATTTTATAATTCTGAGTTAAGGTTTGTAATTACTCTGATACCCCTAGGTTGTGGTAAATGACAGACAGTATTTCCACACTGCCAGTATCACTGTGTGTGTGTGTGGGTGGGTGACTCATGGGTCACCTCAGAGGTTTTCAGTATGACCGCTATGCATACACGAGATTTCTCTGGGGTCAGAGGAATAACCGATACATGATTATGATTAAGTCAAACACGGTTTACTGCAGGTGCTCACTTGCTGCCACAAAACCAGACTTTCTCCAACCCATGTGACTTTCCCCATGTTGCTGATCTTACAATGTAAATCCCTAAATAAACCTCATTCAGCATTCACTTTTCCTAGAAACATTAACAAAGAAACTGAGTTTTTACGTACAAAGATAAAGTACTTTAATACGGCACCACATGTGATTAAATAAAAACAATATCATCGTGAGTCTGTGTTCCATTTATTTCTTTCATTTTTCATAACCATGCAATTGCAGGTTTATTTGGAAGACATTAAAGCACACACAGAATAACTGTTTCTGCCATATAAAATATAAATAACGTCTAAGAACATAAAATAATTTAAAAAACCTCCTTATTATATAAATAATAAGTTGTATAAATTCTTCAAGTGAATGATCTGCAGCTCCAACTCACTAAACAATGACAGCGGTGCTTATTGTTGCTTCTCTGAGGCTTTTGTAGAGTTAACTCCATGACACTTGGGAGGCTGTAGTTTGAGGGGCTGTTGAGTGTGTTACACTGGAAGAAGACTCTATCGAACATTTTCTCCCACCACAGAGTTTTGTGGCCGCTCTGACTCAAAGTTCCTGTATTCCTTCCGATTGAAAACCCTGCAACCACTCACTCTTTGGAGGGTTTGTTTGCAGGAAGGATACTCTCTACGGGGTAGAATAGTAGCAAAGTACTTCGTCACGCCATGTTTGTATCTGTACAAAAGAAGGCCTTGAGAATATGAGCGTCACACAAATGTGGTGGAGTAAAAAGTACAGTAGTTCCCGCTGAGATACGGTAGAAGTATAAAGTAAAATAAAAATACTCCAGTTTGTCAATATGTTGTTGAATAAACTATTATTTAATAATTTAATGGGGAATTCGCACTAAACAAATTCCGTACACAATCATCAGCCCCAAAACTGTGACTAAACTAAATAAATACTACAAAAAAGGTGTCAAAATGAAGAAGGCTCGAGCAGCTATAGAAGCCGCATTTTCGGGTTGTTGTTTTGGCGACGGTGGATTAATTTGATCCCAAAAACCAGTTTATGAGAGCAGGGTGAATTTTCAAAATAGTAAACTATTACTTTGTCAACTTATTTTTCTTCACTAAGATAGAAATTTGACTAAGAAATAACGTTACCTCCCCCCCTTCTGCTATTTGGTATGACCCAGACACTGATAACGATATCAAAGCACCACTGTTTGTTAATGTTCAATCCGTTTGTGGGGCTGTGTGTGCGCACACGCGCGTGGGAGTGAACCTGCAATAGTGTGAATGTGTGCGTGTGTGTGGATTAACCAACGGCCCAGTTCCTGTGTAACATTTTGTAATATTGTCCCACTGACTGTTGCCCAGTAGTACTGCACTGTACAGCAGCACGGTGTTATAATATTCACAGTGGTGGAAAATAACTACATTTACTCAAGTAATGTGCAAATTTGGAGTACTTCAATATTTCCATTTTCCATTACCTTATACTTCACTGCATTTATTTGCCAGCCAGTTACATTGCAGATTCAGATTATTAATATAAAATGTAATTAACAAATACATTATTATAGATATAAGCAGTGACTAGAGTAAACTTTTACCAGCTGCAACATTAAAATGATGCTTGCATATTAATGCATCAATTATTACAATATATAATATTAGAAAATGGGCCATTCTGCATAAAACATACTTATACTTTTGCTATTTTAAGAAACCTATATTGTGTTGCAAGTATAGGCCTACATTTGTACTTTTACTTCAGTATAAAAAAAATGCATGACTTCAAACTTGTATTTCTACACTGTGTTGCTACTTTTGCTCAAGTTAGAGGTTACCCGAGTACTTCTTCCACCATAATAAATCACTTAAAACACTACATTGCCTACCTGTGTTATAAATAACGCCAGATCCATATGCAGTTTGAGCATTTTAATGAAGACAGCAGGTACATACAGTACGGATATGCATTAGGCAATTTTTGCAGAAAGTTCACTAATTTCTAACATTATCGGCAAGAAGAGCTAAAAGCTGATTAGTCAAATAAATGACAGAGAAGTAATCTGCTGGTACTTTTTATAATCGATTAATCGTTTAAGTCATTATCAAGTAAAATACACCAAAAGCTCACTTCAGGATTTGCTCGTTTTCTTCATCTTGTGTTTAAGTGAACTCAATATTGTGAGTGTTCGAACAAAACAAACATGACATCATTTTGGACATCTCCAACCAATATATGTATCAATCAAGAAATGAACCAGCAGATGATTCAATAATTAAAATAATCAGGAGTTGCAGGCCTGTTATTTTCTATATGGCAGCTAAAGCTGGAAATACATTGGCATGGCAAGAGAATGGCTTCTGCACACTGCTGTCTTCTTCAGTGTTCTTCAGTGTTCATCTCTTTCAATCCTATCTAAAAAAAGGAAAAACATGATGTCAAGTGTAAATCTGTTGAATAAAACATATTCACAGTCCAGGGGGCCTACTGTAATTTAGGAATTTATATCTTCCAGCAAGTCAGATTCAGAGTGAGATTTAGTATAAATCCTGTTTCGGTAAATATTAATTTATGCCAAATCTGTTTCTCTAACTATGGAATAATAATGATGAATGGGCTCATTGAAGAAATAGAATAAAATAGACTGAACCTACCCTTTTTGCTTGCAGTGCTAAAAGGAAAGAATACAAAACAGATTTAAATAGTGAAATGTGACTATACCATATCAAAACAATCCTATGAATGGATTTTATCTGGGAAAATGTAAGACCTAAAATAGAATCACTTCAGTGACTCATGCAGAAACCTGATTAATTGAGTTGTGTTTGTCAATTTAACATGTTGCAAGTTATGTGATCAGTGAACATCACACTCACAATGTAAATCACCCGCGCTGCTCCCACCACGATCAAAAAGACGACTGCAAAATTAAACCACAAAACTGTCATGTCAGGTCAAGGCAAGAAAAATCTGATTTTTTTTGTCTTTTTTCATGCTGTTAATCAATGTATTAAATTGACATTCAGTGCTTGCGACAGATACATACCAAACAATCCAAAGCTAGAAATCAATCCATCCCGTGTGCGGGAAGGGGTCTGCTGCTTCACATCTAAAGAAATGAAAGAAATGAAAATAGCATCAAAACTCCACAAAAGCTCCTTATTTACTCATTTTATTTTTAATAAAAACACTGACATTTTATGCAGATTTTATGACGAGTTATCTTACAAATAGTTATATCAGAAAATGTCTCCTCACCATTATCCACAGAGTAAGCATTGATTGGATGTTTTACACCTATAATTTGGATGAAATATAAAAAACCTGTAGGTTACATATAACCACCAGCTTATACAGACTACATTGTTTATTAGGAACACCAAGCTAAAACTAATTCTGTAATTCTGCAATACTGTACATCCTACCCTCATAAAGGTTATGATGTTTACAGATGTGCTGATTCTACTGATCACTAGATAAAATCCAACCTACGGTTTAGGTGGGGTTAACCACCGGGCTCAAAAATGCCCTAGGGGAACCCCCGATAAACTGTTGTTTCAACATCATACCAATGGCTCCATTTCAGTGTGTAGTTTGGAGTTTCTGCACAGTGAAATACTGCTGAAACAACAGTTATATGTAGCTCCAATGTTTGGAAGACATTCTCTATTCAGCCAAAGTTATCTCAGTTTGAACCTAGATGTCTAGACATTTTTTGACAAGCAAATGACTAAAACCAGCAGCAATTCATGTTTAATAAATGTATGTTATACGTACAGTTTGTGGGAATGACGTCAATGTGCCCATCCGTATCTGCCACGTCTATATTTGGTCCAACATCCTCTGAGCAGAAGATGACGATCCTGGATTGGTCACGGCACACAGAGCAATTCTTGTTTTGAGGTGAAGAGGTTACAGAGCATTCTGGAAACATTGCATTGAGGTCTCTGTGGTACAGAGGAGTGTCGTCATGCCCGTCAAATATGTTCATCAACTTTGGGCATCTGTCCTTGTCCTTGCAGGTAAAACACTTAGCTGCAGTCAAAAGAGAGAAAAACATTGATGAGTTACAGATATAAAAAGAGCTGCTGGTGTAAATGTGCTTAAACTTACATTTTAGAGCAAGAGTGTACAAAGAAATCTTGTTATTATATTATTTGAAATATTAATAAACTTGGTTCAATCAACAGGTTTACAAAACGTCTTAACTTACCCTTTTGTTCTGCTGCAGGACTAGCACACCCTGTATGGCAGAAAACATAAGGAAAATATCAAGCCTATTAAAAAATACTGTGCATCATTGCTCAAAACAGTGTTCAGAGTGCATTAGTATAGAAATTCTCTGCTCCTGTTCAAGGCAATTACACCTAAATAAAGAAATAAATACAGGGATGAACTGCACCCCGTTCACGACGTACCAGGAAAGCCCTCAGAGACAGGAACAAGCATGAATGCCATCCAACCGAGAAGGTACACTGCAAATACAGACAAAACAAATGAAAAAATTACTCCCAGCATGCAGTAGTAGTATTACACTTATTATATAGTACATTACACTATCACATTATAACTGAGACACGAGAATTATACACTCAGTGGCCACTTTATTAGGTACGCCTGTACAATCTGATCTAAATTCTGTTCTACCATAAAGTCGACTTTCATGAGGCGTCAATTCAATTATATGTTTTGGTATTGAGGTCATAGGATGTGTTGTACTGCTTGCAATTAAATTGAGAGGTGTTTGTAATACTCTGCCAACCTAATGTATGTAAATAGAGAATAATAGAAAAATAATTAAAAAAACGCCTCTCAATATAATGTAGTGCAGTACAACACCACTGCAAACTATGACCTCAATCATAAACATATGATTGAATTAACATATTTCTGACAATGTCAAGAAAAACTAAACAATATAAACTTTGTAAAGGTAGAATTTATGGAAGAGCTGTTGTATTGAACTGCAATAGACTGTACACGTGTAGGTGTTTCTTTTACAGTTTGCGCTTACGTATATACGCAGAAATATATATGCAATGATGAGAAATATCTAAAACAGAATGAAGTTTTAAATACTTTCAATATTAGTGAAAAAAAGATTGTACAGCTGTACCTATAAAAAGTACCAACTGAGTGTATATTTCTTAAATACTACTGTATTATTATATATGAGTAAAATAAGGAAGAAAAAGATTATATTGAAGAAATTCAATTCAAATTTAAATTTAATTACGTTTCCGGTACTTCCCAGCAGCTCTTTTCCTGCGCTGGGGGCTTTTTCTTCCTGCTCTAGGAGCCAGTGGAGGACATTTTGACCCGGTGCCCATCTTGGTGCAGCTTCCTTCTCCTACTACCTCTACATGTGGCTGCTCCTCAGTAATGGCTGCTGTTGCGGGTAACACCTTGAAAGGTTCCTCTTCTGGGCTCTTCTGCGACAGGGTTTGTGGTGGAAAGTTGTTTGTCTGAACCACAGCTACAGTGGACCGTTCTATGAATTCCCCCTCAGCAGACACAGGGTGTGCCTTTGGGCCAGCAGCATGCCAGAGCTTTCCGTTCTTTGCAGGGTATTCACCGATGTTTAGATTCTCCTTAGGAATGGGTGTCACAGAGCTGCCTTTTTCTTCCACAGGCAAAGCACTTTCATTCAAATTATCATTGAATTTGTGCTCCATGTTGGAGGAGAGGCCAGCGTCCCTGTAATATAAAAAAGGGAAATAAATGTGTAGTAAATTAAAACAGATAATCAAATTATACTTGAATTGGAAACAAATACAATAAGCAGCTATCATCAGAATGAGCAGCCATTACTGATCAAGCAATGCATACAGATTCATCCAAACAAGATAAGAAAAGAAACTAACCCGCTCTCCTGGGTGTGCAGGCCCCGGCCAGCTTCAAGAAGAAAACATAAAAACAAGTTAAACTACGTTAAACGACTAATAATGGATATTATTTATGTGGTTTAAAAAAAGCGCATCATTGCGACACCTCAACTGCCTGCATAGCAATGTAATTGTAACTGCGACACATGCTCCTCGTGTTGTTTATTTCACAGTTAGTTTGGCAAGCTTTTAAAAAGACAAAAAAAATAATTTCTTGGGTCACTGTAGTTAACAGAACCAGTGATTTGATCAAAAACGATGTGAGTTTAGTCCTCAGAGGGCACAAACTGAAATCTTGTTTAAGCCGGTTCTCAGACAGAATGAATGAAACATGCAGCAGGCCTCATAAAGAAACGCTTTTCTATTTCCCAAAGAAGTCAAATGATGGAATTTAAATAATCAAACTTACTTTGTGGTCGAGCATGTAAAAAGGAATCCCTTGGGCCGGTCATTTTTTATCAAACGAGCTACTGCAAACAACTTGTCTTGCTTAAGTACTGAACAACCAGGAAATGAGTGTTGCTATATATATATCATCTCTAACTTCAACCTAATGACATGACAATATCTCCATCTGGTGGAAAAGATCTTTCATTAACTCTGTGTGTTTTATTTGTTTCCACTTTTTCAATTCAATTCAATTCAATTTATTTTTGTATAGCCCAAAATCACAAATTTGCCTCAGAGGGCATTACAATCTGTACACATATGACATCCTCTGTCACAGAACCCTGACATCGGAACAGGAAAAACTCCCCCAAAAAACCCCTGAGTAAGAGACCTTAGGGAGACTTTAAAGAAGATTGAGTCATTTCTCCAAACAGAATTTGCAGTTTTTTTAATGACACTAATTCTTCTGAGGACGGTGGGCTTTTACAAATTAGAGGGGGTTTTTTGGTCATAGAAAGGCAAACGAAACAGGTTGTACTGTCCCGGAGTTCATTTTGTTTCGTGTCACGATAAAAGAGCAATCTTATTGTGAGGCTGATATAAAGACGTTGGACAACACTAAAGGTAGACTTTAATGGAAGACAAAATAGACTTGGGCTGGATTTTGCTGTCAAAGATGTGATTCCAGTGCTGTGGTTACAGCAGGAAGTTGATACTTCTCACTGTGTCACCAGCTTTTTGACGTGATGAAACTTCTGTGGTGTCACACTGGAGCTCTATGTCCTTATGACTTTTTGTGTGAAGACTGGCCCGTGTTTCATCTGTTTCTAGAGGATTTGTGTTTTGGGTCTTTTGTTTGTTTTTTCTTTGTTTCATGTTATTCGTACAGGTTTGGTGTTTCCTGCTCTTTTTTACTCTCCCCTGTGTACTTCCTGTCTGCCCCACCCTGATTAGTTTCTCCTGTCTCACCAACTCCGTTGCAGATGTCGCTCCAGTTCTTGTGTCAGCAGTCTGAGCCAGTTCCTCGTGGCCTGTTGGCAGTCTGGCAGCAACCACTGGTCCTAACATGCGCCAGGTCATCTGTTACCGTCTGTCCTCCCTGGCCCCAAGTCTCAATGGCCGGGTTCCGGAGGGGTCCTTCCAGTCAGCCACCCCTGTTCGGTCTAGACTTCCTGTTGCAAGAATTTGGCCCAGAGTCCCTGCAACCCACTGTGAGTCCAGGGTCTGCCTCCAGAGGGGGTCTGCCTCCAGAGGGGATCCACCTCCGTCGCCCGCCTCCAGAAGGGCCCTGCATACTTAGGGCATAGTAAGGCTACATTCAAATTAGTGAAGCAATTTAGATGTCTGTCAGCAGAACAGCTCTGCTTGAAGAGACCTGTTTTTTATGGTTTGCTATGATAATTTGTACAGTATGCTCTTCAACCAACAACCACTACAGCCATACTAGCGCTCACAATGACAATACTAACATGCTGATGATTAGCAAGTACAATGTTCACAATCTTAGTTCAGGATGTAAGGATGCTAACTTTTGGTAATTAGAACAAAACACAAATTACAACTGAGGCTGTAATTGATTATAAACAAAACGTTTGGTGCCTTGGTGCCCTCGAGGTTAAAGCGCCGACCATAAACCACAAACAGGGACTTTTTTTTGCCATTCCCCTTCTCTCTCCCCTAATTTCCTGTCGTCTGAATTAAAAAGTTAATGAATCACCAAAGTTATCACAATTTACCCTGAGTGGAGCATGAATGTCCACCAAAAACGAATGGATATAAATGTTGAGACATTTCACTCAAAACCACAAATGTCAATCTCATGGTGGCGCCAAGAAAAGGTCAGGGGGTCACCAACGTCAGTAGGATTCATCCTCTGGGTACCACGAATATCTGTATAACATCTCATGGCATCCATCCAATAAACCGTAAACATATGTTGTTTCGGGGCATTTGCTGAAAGGACTGATGCTGAAGTTCATTTTGGAAGGACACTTGTGAAGATGTGAGGTGTCTGGTACGACTTTGCCTCCCTAATGCAAAACGACTACGAATGCTAGTGGGGAGTGTTTACAGGAGAAGGGGGCACTTAAGAGTCTGTGCCTAGTGTTTTATAATCCGTCTGTGGCTCTTACATACAGTCTAACTAAGCACTATATTAGGGCTACTATATTAGATTAGATTATAGATGCTGCTCCTGTAATTTCCACCTGGTCATGGGCATGGGAAAACCCCCTCTGTCTCATCTTGGCTGCCTCAGTGCAACCTCATCCACACAGTCACATGCCCTTCTGTTTATCAGACATGTGCCATTCTCATTGGTTCTACAGTACATTACTTTATGGTGTGTTTCACATTCCTGACCTGCAGTGCTCAGGCGCGCCTGCTTTGCTTTAGGCCATGGAGAGGACACAAGAAGGCGTGGAACAGGTATAAAGAGGCAGCTATGTGAATCCATGTTCAGACCTGACGCAGCAGCTTTCCCTCTACAGCAAAAAGGTAAGCAGACTTCTGTGGTACAACATAGGACAACATAGATTTATCCACTTTTGGAACATTTTAATTCAATTTACTGAGAACCTTTTCACACTTTGTTTCCTTCCTGTTTTGTATAAGTCGTCGTAGTCTGTCTCTGGATCAACTAGATTAAATCACCGAAGGAGGTTCTAATTGCTCCACTAATGTCTTTATTGAACAGTGAGGGTTTGCCTTTCATGTCTTTACTGGTTATTATATGTTTCTTCTAACATCCTCAGTCTGTCCATGTGAATATTAATGACTGTAAGGTGACTTACTGTAGTCTCTCAGATACTATGACAATGAATACCCATAGTATCTGACAGACCATGAATACTCAGTATCTGAGAGACTACGCATACTCTCTGAGAGACTATGAATACCCATAGTATCTGAGAGACTATGAATACTCATCTCAGATACTATGAGTATTCAGTCCCAAGCTATTGGCTGGAACTTACACGTGCCTTTTTCTTTTTTATGTGCTGCCAACTTTGTGCTCATGCAAAGACAAACATTTTCTTTTCCTCTTGTGGACTTACTAGTTTGTCAGCTTTTTTAATCTCTCTGTCCTACAACACACAGCTCAAAGTCTGTGCAAAATGTGCTGCTGACTGGAGGCCATGCTTCCGAGTTCTTAAAACTATAGCAATGTCTGTTTAGATCAACACATGGGAGCTGTTATTTACACAACAGACTCAGTTAGGGTTCATTCATGCGGTCACTCAGGTGAGCTGCTTTCTGTCATTTATTCATGTTCAGGGTATTTTTGTTGTTTACTGTAGGATTCAGGATATCCTGGTTCCAGACATTATGAATCACCGCCCATATATGTGTCTCTAATTTGTTCAGTGATTCAGCTATTTATTCCAGTTAAGTGAAAAACTAAAAGACAGTTCAGTCGGATTATCAGGCTCCGACTTTCTGAAGAATCCCAGAACTAGTCTTACACAACAGAGGTGACGCACCCTTTCTGAGAACGTTTATTTCCTCTAAATTCAACCTAGCTCTGACAGACTGTGAACAGGTCTAATCTTGCTGAAATTAAGCTTGTATAAGAGAGACAGTACGTGTAGAGACACTTGACGATACAACACAGTGGCTCTATGGTTAAGTAGAAAGCTGGTGAATCTCATTATGTTTGATGTTGATTTCATGATTTCATGGAGACTGTTAGTGGTGGAAGATGTATCGTGTCTTCTTTTACTTAAGTAAAAATAGCAATACCTAAAACTAAAACGAATTCACAATAAAGTAGAAGTCATGCATTTCAAGTGAAGGTAAAGTACACAAGTACTAGCAGCAAAACATATTTAAAGTATCAAAAGTACTCATTCGGTGACATAATGGCTCCAGTCCGTGTCATATAATAGTATCAGATTATTAAAACAAATGCATTTAAGGCATTTGAGGTTTAAGCTTGTCAAAGTAAAGCTTATTATATTCCATGTAAACTATTGGATTGTTTAAACTACAATGTGTATTCTATTAGCTACTTATATATTATCTGTACTATGTTTAATTCTTTCTCTTCAAGGAAAGATAAATGTAAGTAGTGTAAAAATGACAGTATAAAGCCCTGAAATGCAGTAGATTTGAAGTATAAAGTGAAAATACTCAACACTTTCCAACATTGAAACTTTTTTAAAGTTTGTTTGCTTTCTATAAGATGACAAATACACCTGATGTACACTGATCATTGGAATTTAGTTCAATCTGAGTCGCCTGTTTGGTTGCCTTTTTAAACCGTGATCAAAAGTGTCGCTCCGGTCTAACTTGTATTATGCAAGGTGACAAACAGGAAAGTCCCAAAAATAACAGCGACATTTACAAAACTTGGTGAAGCTGCATTGACAAACAGTAACAGCACTGATAAACAAGACCCTTGAAAGAACAAACGGAAAGAACAGGATATCTAGATAGCATCAAAAATATTCTATCATTTCTGATCATATCAAACAATAAACAATACATTTTGTTCTTCACCAAACTGGCATTTAGTGCAGGAAATGAGGTTTTTCTGCAGTTTAGCATCGTTTAACAACATTGTTTGGTCTGAGCTTCAACATGATTGTTAAATTGACCTCACCCTCACTCTGCAGTCGTCCCGTCGTGGCCTTGATGGCGTACTCCACCAGCACTATCGCAGAGGGCTGCTTTGGGAAGGTGTACAAGCAGAAGTACAACGATACCTGGGCTGCTATAAAGAAGGTCCCCCAACATCTCATCACTAAGAAGGACCTGGAGAGAGAGTGTGAAGTGTACAAGTAAGTACAAGTGGTTTTGATGTTAGCAGACTCAAAAAATGGAAGAGTAGAAATATAAAGGTGGTACTGAGAAGCTGAATTCTTAAGATGTTATAAGGTAGTACACAAAAGTTCCCAAAATGTCAGAGCTACATACTTTTAATGTTATAGAGTCACAATTCTTTAGCATAAACTCCTCCATCACAAAAGAGAGACAGAAACAAAAGGTAGAAATACTTGAAGATACAAGATTATTGCTGGTCATCACAACCAACATGTGTCCTCCTCTGGTCTCATGCGGTACAATAGATAATTTCTCGTAAGAAAGACAATAAAAAATATATCTATAAAATACCCAGTGTTGCTACTGAGTATCAGTATCGATATTGCTAGTATTTTTGTTTTACGGTAAATCATTTATTTTTTAAATTATTCATAGAAAATATTTGGAAAATGTTATTGGAAAAAAGTGTTTTTTATTTTAAATATTGTTAACATTATGTGAGGGATTGATGAGGGATTGATTTAAAAAGTACTTTTAAACAATTAAATAGTGTTTACCCCCTCCTTCCCTTTACTTATAAGGGTACCCAGTAAGTATTTATTTGGTTCCTCATTTATGCTGATTTGTAAATTTCTCTTCCCCTCCATGACTTGCTGCCACTTATCTGCAGCAAGGCAAATCATCCCAACATAGTGAAGCTTCTGGGCAACATAAATCTCAAAGACGGAAAATGGATCATTCCTCTAGAGTTTATCTTCGGAGAGGACTTGGAGACCACCATCTTCAAAGCGTCAATGTCTAAAATAAAGGTAAAGTTATCATCCACAGACAGAAGGCATATGATGCAAGGTGAACTTAAGGATAGTAGGACCTACAGTACAAACAATTGTAAAGCCAGATTCACATTCAGTATAAACCCAATTTGGCCATGATGATATTTTTCTTTCCATTCCAGAGAGTCTGCATTGTTTGCACTAAATAAAGAAGGTCACCATGGACACTTGTAGTGTGCATCGGTTTAGGATAAAATTATTCTTATACGGACCCAACCTCAGTCTCAGAGTCATCATAATATTATCTTATGCTTGAGGTTTATTCATGATATCTGGACAAATATTGATGTGACTTTGTAGTTCACGTCACGCCCTGTTAATTAACTTCAGAAAAGCCGTTTTATTCAGGCCTGAAGGTAAAGGGCGTGCAACTCAATATGAGGAAGTTGGTTTATATTTTATGTTTGAGATACTTGATGCCAGCCAAGCTAAAGTTGATCTCATATTTGTGCCTCTGTAGGTGTCTCCTTCCGTTAAAGGCACTATCATCCTCGGCATGTGTGAAGGGCTGCTTCACCTCCACTCCAGAGATATTGTCCATCAAGACCTCAAGCCTGAAAACATCATGGTGAGTGGAGGCACCTGTCAGCATGTCAACATGTGGGGAAAAGTGCTGCCATTCTGCAGTCAAAAAGAATGAAATTAGCTATTTCCATTACTAGGATGATGGAGCTGATAGCATTGCTGGAGACTATTCCGTGAAACTTATAATCACTGGGGAGAGGGTGAAGCTGAATAATGGCCGTCTTGTACGCTATCCCACTTTTAAAGCTCTGTGAACTGATTTGTGATTTTATAAGACGATATTTCAAACAGACTAAACATCATTTGTCCTCCAGGTGGAGCATGAAACGAACAGAGCCGTCATCATCGACCTGGGACTGGCCAAGTTCTTCAAATATGGCCTCAACTCTGCCATGAACATGGGGAACCCGGCCTACTCAGCCCCTGAGGTGCACAGGGGCAGCCAGAGGGACCAGCGCTCAGACGTGTGGGCCATGGGTAAGATCATCGCTGAGCTCTGTGCCCGGATTCGACTTCACACGCCCAGCGTCTGTCCCGCCAAGATGGAGGAGATCATGAAGGATCTGCCGTACTGCCATGCTGTGTGCAGGATGGTGGACCCCGACCCTTCTCTGAGGGCCTCCGTGGGCGGGATCATTAGTGAGATACGAAGGGCCGCAGGTGCAGACACCGTCACCAATACACCCGTTCAAAAAGAGCGTAAGGTACCTTCACCTAACATTAATGTCAGAAACCCATCTCCGTCACCAGTGGACAGAGGAGCTTCTCTAGCGAACAGAGATCCATTGCCAATGAACAGAGCTCCTTCACCGTTTAACAGGGACCCATCACCAATGAACAGAGCTCCTTCACCGTTTAACAGGGACCCATCACCTATGAACAGAGCTCCATCACCCTTTAACAGGGACCCATCACCAATGAACAGAGCTCCATCACCCTTTAACAGGGACCTATCACCAATGAACAGAGCTCCATTTAACAGGGACCTATCACCAAGGAACAGAGCTCCAATTAACAGGGACCTATCACCAATGAACAGAGCTCCATTTAACAGGGACCTATCACCAATGATAGCTCCTTCACCTAAAAGTGATCCATTACCACGCCACAAGTCTCCATCACCGCTGAAATGGGAGCGCTCACCCAAACCACACCTTCAACCTTTGCGGCCTCAAGCCGCAATGCACATCCCTCCTACCCCTCAGAGGACAGAGGACAGGAACAAAAACCAGGCTCTGGTCCGGACAGGCAGATCCGAGCTTACCCAAGACTTCCTGAAAATGAATTTGGATCTGCCCTGCAACCTGCCCACAACAGGGAGGGTGGTGGTGCGGCGCTTTGAGGAGAAAAACGGGGAGGTTGAAACATGGGAGCAGAAGGAGGTGGTGACTCGTGATGGGAAGATAGTCAAGTTCGACGACGTCAAGTTTAATAACAAGTCAGACTAAGAGTTTGAGGATTTGTCGTTCGGCGGATGATTACTTAAGCTGGTTAAATGGTTAGTTCAGGGTCAACTAACTTTTAGTATTTTCTTAAGAGAGGGTGTACAATACATTTCCACTGTGCAGAAGAGTAAACTGAGATTAAGTTACAGGAGGCATCTGTTTTTTTAGCACACATTAAAAATAACAAAAACAATAAGAAGACATCTTGAAATGGCTTTGGTTGTGCATTATGTTCAGCCATGTTTGGAATTTGATTGATAGCTCATTTACTTGCCAAGAACGAAAGATCTGTAGGCACAAACGACAATCTGTGAATGTTTTTCAGCATCTGAATGCATAAGACTGTGAACATGGCTCATTCATTATGTGTATGTTTATGTATGTAAATAAATTCAGAAATCTCAATTTATAGATTTTGTTTCTTTGGGATGCTTTGTGCCTGTATTTATTGCAACTGTGTTTCATTAGATTGTCGTTACTTTAGCTGTTTTAGTAATAAGAAAAACATCTGAGCAAGTAATGAAAAGAAGCCAACACTATAATTGATGGTTGTAAAAAAGTAGTTACTGAAATCAGAATCAGACAACATGGGCTCGTAGCATACAACAAACAAACTATAATATAATACAGGTGTAACAGATTTTCATTAAGTCCAATATTTACAAGCTACATCCATCTTCCATGGGTCAAGAAAGTCTCTGTCCACATTTCAACCCTATTGACTGAACAATGAAAATATGTTAATATTGCTAAATGTGTCAATCACTGAAATATTTGTGTTTTGTTTGTTTGATAGTTAACTGGATATGTCAAACTTGTTAAAAGATTTAAATTAAACTTGGTGAAAAATGGGTCAGTGATGAAGTAAGTGTTTGGTGATCCAACCAAAGCTGATCTGTAATTTGTTGAGCTCTTTACACTTTAGCCCGTTGCTCCTGAACTGCAAGGAGTAAGATCGGTAAATAGATTTTCCGTCATATTGATTTTGTGGCAAAATTACATATTTCATTCAATCTTTCCCTTGGTTCAAGTCTTTTTTAAGTAGAAAGCCCTTGAGCACATTGTGCATTCGCAACCAAATTTAGACAACTCATGCAGAGACCTACAACGGCGTATTAAGGCCATTGAACGTAAAAAAAATAATAAATAAATGCGGAGCTGGGGTAGGGGGTGATATCGTCAGAACTTCCGAGATTGAAGTCGTACATTTATGAGAAATAAACTTATTCTGAGATTTAAGTGGCAAAATATAGAGAAAAAAAACCTCACAAATTTGCAATTTTGTTTTCCGAGCAACCCAGCAAAGTTTGATTGTCTTTCACCTTTAGGCAGGTATGAGTCTGACTCACTTTAAATGTTTAAGTCATCCTTACTGAGCATAATTTAGGTATTCTCCTAAAGTCTTGGCTACTATCAGCCACTGTGCATCAATCACTCTCTGTGTATGTATTTTATATCTCAATTGTTAAAACATAAATAACACATTTTAAAGGTTTTGCAAACCAAAGACATTGGTTTTTAAAAAGGTCAGTAGAATTAGAAAAACAGAGGAGCTTGTTTCACGGTCTATCCCTTTGTCTTTGTGCAACACTGCTGCAGTAATGAACTGCATCTGACCCCACCACCCTCTGGTAATCCGCACATGCAGGGTGCCTTAAAATGCTGCTGACTGCGCTGAACTGTGCTCAGTTTCAAATTGCAAAACTGTATTTTTGCTTTTGCATAATCTGAGATTCACAGGCTCTCTTTGTCACAAGGCATCGGCTCTCAAGTGTCAGACGTGAGCCTTTGAGAACTCTCCACATAAAGGTAAGCTTCATTTTCTCCGTCAACAGCTACAGTTTGCGTGGATTTTATTTCTCTCACTCATCTGTGGATCTGGAGATGTTAACCCTTCAGTCTATCTAAGCCACACATTGAGAAGAAGTGGGATGTGTGGTTTCCTCTGCAGGAGTAAAAAGGTCTCTGCATGCACTGACTTTTCTTTGTTATTTCACATCACCTTCCTCATTCGGCCTACCATCATCACATGATGAATCGTGTTGAAGAACAGTTATCAGGGTGACCCTAGATAGTGATGACAATCTGCTTTCGAAACAAGATGTCAAACAATGCTAACGTGCTTCAGTCCAGCAGGTGTAGACATATAGAATGATAGCATTCTACCATCTGCTAAATACCACTAAACACAAAGTAGGCTCCAGCTGTTATTGATGGGAATGTCATTAGTTTTGCCGACATGGGTCCCATCTAATGCTGCGCTCCGTTTATCTCGGATGTCGGAAATCAAAGCTGGGAATGACATCACTCGCGAGTTGGCCCTGTTCCAGTAACAAGTCGGAGAAGTTAGCAATACAGTGTATTATGTTATGTGACAATATATTTTGACAACATGCAGTTAGTCTATCATTGATCGACAACATGGCTTGTTAAAAATAAACAGAAACATCTATATTCTGTTTTCCTTGTTGGAGTTTTATAATTATTTTATTCCAGCTCAAGTTACTTCTATCATTGGAATATACATTTTCAAGATGCTCCTTTAGGTTTTTGTACTTTTCCTCCATTTTGTTTAAATTCTGTTTATCATTTTTATTTGTCCAAATAAACTGAATTCTATATTTACAAATTACTCAGAAGTCATTTTTAAAATACAATTAAACTCATTAACGGAGCTTTATTGGATCCAGTTGAAGAAAATATATATATATTTTAGGTTGCAGGACTGTTAATGTCAACATCTTTGAGTTTGGCTCCATTATTAGGAAGCGGACTTGACAATGAACAACTTGCATGACGTATTTGCCCGTCTTATTTCTGAAAGAACAAGATTATTAGCTCAGAATTATGAGAAAGGTGCTCATGAATTGACGAGATAAGTATTGCTGCTAACCAGCATCCGACCCTTCAACAGTGTTATATGATTTAAAGTACGGGGCTAATACATGTGTAGGCAACTAAGGTTGGATTTCAGATGCATCATCTGTGAAAGAACGCCACATCGGTTTAACCGATCCTGGAGAAACACCACCATGTCCAGCTGATCGGAATGGGCTTTACGTCTGAACAAGGTGGTGTCTGGAGGTGTCTGTGCAACGTGGACAAACTAACAATGTCTCAAACCCAAATGATAAGCAGGCGGGATATGTTGAAATCAAGTATATTCTTGAAACTTTTAGAAATTCAACTAGTAGTATGAAAATGTGCTGTAATAAATAACTTTGCTTGCACTCAACATGTACTGTATGGGGAAGTACATATACTTCTGACTCATGCTCCACTTCCACTTGTTTTAAAAAGAACCAAACAAAAAGCTTTTGAATTATCAGTTTATTAATGCATTTAAGGCCACTATGGACTGTGCAGAGTTCATAAAGAGAGCAGACATAACCCATAAAGTCACACTGCCCTTGGTTGCTTCAGTACTACCCTGTTGTGACTGCTTTCCATTGCTGCCACACCCACACACACACACACACACACACACACACACACACACACCCACACCCACACCCACACACACACACACACACACACACACACACACACACACACACACACAAGCTAAAGAAACAAAACATCAGGTCAAGTAATTGATGCAGAGTTGTGACTTTGGGAATAGAAGCTTTCTTTGTACATCTCAGCTCAGCAGATGGAAACTTGCATTTACAGTCACAATAAGTCAGTTTCCAGTTCAAAACAAAGACACTTCAGCATGCTTCCTAATTTCTAGATGAGCATGAGTATCATCTCCACATTGTGCTCCGTACATTCCCTCAGTAATAGCTTTGTTGCCATGCATATTTAGTCTTGATATAAGTGTGTAAGTGACCACGGGTTGAAATACTAGTATCTCGTGTGTGTTACTAAGGCCATAGGAGTTTAATTCACATCAAAACGATAACACCAGTATATAGTCATCTACTTATGAAAATCACAGGAAACCACTCGCACAGCTTCTCGTCCTTCTTCAGGGGACAAATACCACAAAGACACGTTTTCAGTACAGTTTGAAAGAAAGAAATCACTGATAATCATTAACCATCCTTTCACTAAATTAACTGGTTGTATATTTTGTGAAATCTGAATACCTGTCGGTTTAAGATTCTTGCAACGCAGAATTGAAATATACTACAAATATTGATAGGAAGTGAGCGCTACGGAATATCATTCATAAAGAGACACACAGACAGACACAAACACTTTTTATCCATCACCACAGCTTTCCACGCAGTCGTCTTTGGTTTCAGCCCGTTCACCTGCCAGCACACAGCCACTCTCACCGGGTTAAAGGACCGTTTCCTTCTCTCGTGTTTACAATCAAATCTGTCAGAGTGGAGAGAAGTGAAGCGTGCAGAATAAGGGGCACTATAATGGAAAGGAAACGGCAGATGTCTCCATGAGAGAACTGGCTTTCAGAGTCACATTGTGACAAAGATTGACAGAGTCGAGATGGAAGACAAATTTCTTGAAGGAATAAAAAAAAAAAAAGGGAGATCAGAAAAGAGGAAGAATCTTGGCCCGTTTCCTTATTGACGAGCCTCCCACTAGCACAACAATATTGCTCAAGATATCGGAAACGTTTCACAGATGTTCCAGTTAGACTTCCCACCGTCGGCATCGTGTGAAAACAGACTTGTGGGGTTTCGGTCCAAGATGTCCCAGGATGCTCTCGAAACAAGAACACAACACAACCCTTCCACTTAAACCGAACATGCAAAATCACATCGTTCTCTTGTGATAACAGCAGAACAACTTCCATTGCCCACCAACAGAAGATCGCAGAGATCCGTCACGTTGTGCTTCGGGCTCCAGCTGTTGAACCCACTCGTTTGTCCACACGGATACATTTGGCTACTGTACCCTGAGCTTGAAACAGCAGCATTTACAATTCTCTATTCCTGGACCCGATGATGCCGCAGAAATGACAATTCTTGTGCAGAGCAAATGCTTTTTCCCCAGGTCATTTCTCAGCGACATGGATAGTTTAAGGACAGGAGACGGGCAAAAAGATACATTGTGAAGATTGACTGCTTATAAAGTGATAAGGGAGGAAGCTCGCACTGTTGAGAGATACATCTACATAAAGGAGATGTATAGTACTCTGCACATAACCGACATAAAGAAGTATTGAGCAACACAGACTCCATCTTGATGTGAATCTCAAGCTCCTTTGAAGGCAGAAAACTGATCACCAAGACCTGCTCTACCTGATAAAAGGCAAATACACAAAAAAACAACTTCAATCAAATGTTGTAGATATCAGATATGCTGAAATGTTAAAGGCTGAACTGACGCTACAGAGAGGAACTGTACCTTTGGCCTTGGAGTACAGAACTTAAACATTTTCACTTTACTCTCATTCACACTGGAGATTCCAACGAACATGACAGGAGGCAAAACTTGTGTGTACAGCATCCGCAACTTTGAAAACATTGGAAAGACTTGAGTCCGTCTTTTGATACGGATATAGACCAGCATCTCTGTGTAGGACCCCCTCTCTAAACGAGAGCCTGGATATGATATGTGCACTGTTACGTCAGAAGCAGCAACATCAGCGATACACAGACCTGTAAAGTCCCTTCATTCAGCACTCATTGTAGCAGCTTCACACACTCAACTGGAAGTAAGAAACTGTCTCCTTCACTTATATATTCATTGGCATTGAGACAAAAAAAAAAAAGAGCTACTGCTCCATTAAACCCAATATTCTAAATAATGTAAAGTACGAGTGAAAAGACAAAAAAAAACAAAAAAAAAAAAAAACGAACAAGCTTCTAAGGCATCACGAGGTTTAAGCAGCAACCACAGCGCTGTAGATATATAAACTCATAGAGTCCAATGTTTACCCCTCTCTCTTCACTGTGGCTCCCTCGGAGGGAGAATCAGCGATGAACAGGAACCGAGGAGGAGAGCGGTGACCATGGGGGAGAGATTCAGGTCAACTATTTTTAACAAGTCGGGTGTTTCAATCACCCCGGTCTCCGCAGGCAGTCAATGTTGAATCTGCGCTGACTAACTCCTCCACAAACTGATGATGAATCTTGAATTGGAAAAGGCGATAGAGGAGAAAAACCACCATCCTACAGCATGTACAAACAGGATTATCCCATTGAAACATGTTAGTGGCCCCTTAGGGTAGACTTTTTCTCTGCGTGGCCCTCTTCGAGCTTGGCAGGGGGTTTGGCGGGGCCTTTCGCTGGGACTTGGGCAGGTTCTTTGACCGCAGCTTTGGCAGGAGGTGGTGGAGGCAGATGAAGACCGTCCTCGGTGCCGATGTTGACGGTGATGTTGGTGTAAAGAGGCATGTACTGCCGGGAGATTGTCTCATATTCAGCGGTGTTCATCCCATCCGACTTCCAGGTCTGACGCGTCTTGGCCAGCATGTTGAACCTTTACAGGGAGAGCAAAGACAGAGCAGTGAATGATGAAGGCTTCCTTTGCATTTTACTGGTACGGTTTAAAGCTTAGCAAATAGCATCACTTCTGCTGTTTATGGTACCTCTTTGGGTTCACGTCATTGCCTTTGTCCAGCTTGTGTTTAATCATCTTGTAACGGCCGACCTTTACAGATGGACGAGTGATGTACATCCCCCCCAGAGTCACTCTGAGAAGACAGGGAAACGCGTGTCAGTCTTTCAAACATTGATCCTGTATCAATAACAGACTTAAAGTGATTGACTGAAAACCTCAACGTCTGACCGGCTCCAGATGCATTATTTCCACACTGGAACGTCCCGTTGTTGGGAGCATCTGGCCGGAGCTATTCTCACCTGACTCCAATATCGTCGTCCTCTCCCCCCCAGCCCCAGTAGTTGTTGGGAAAGCCGTTCATCTTGAGATAGTGCAGCGGCGTCAGAGCGGACACTCCTCCAAAGTACATCTTGTACGGAAGCCTGGAGAGGTTTGAAGTATTTTTGCATAAATGTAGAACACAGAATGGGCTACGGGTCGATCTGTGAAGAGCGAACCCTTCAATGGACATTCACAGACAGGAAGAGGACGTACTTGTAGCCGAACTTGTCCATGGCGATGGCTGCGTGCTTGGGGTTGGAGTCGCAGACGTACGTGTTTCGATCGTCTTCGGGGATGAGGTCCACATCGTGGAAGAAGAGACAGTTCCAGTCTTCCTCCTTCATGGCCTCCCGGAAACCCACATTCATCAGCTTGGCCCTGTTGAAAGTGTAGTTTCCGGCCTGCGGAGTAAACAAAGGCACCTAATGTCAGAGCAGGCTTTGTGTCACACACTGGTCTACAAGTGATATGGAAACTAAATCCACTAAATGTCAAATAACCAGCAGACCTTCATATTTAAATTATAATATTCCTAATATGACAATAATATGCACAATCACAAATCCAGCTCATGAGGTGCAAGAGATAAATACTGAGGAGCACACATGAATCAATAGTTACAAGCAGCTCAGGAGATTAAACCCTCTGAGCCACTCGAGCATTCTTATCCTCTAACATGCACGTCCAGCGACGGCCCACTAGAGGGCCCTCTTCCTCCAGTCTGAACTGCAGCAGGTACAAAACGATGGACTCACACTGCATACAGACAAAATTAACCAGAGGATAGCTGATAATATCCAATAAGAAAAAAATGTGTTTCTACCAAATGTGAAATCTACATGAACCAAAGCACCAAGTAAAATGTTACTTAAATCCCGTATTTCCCCCGCTGCCTCTTCTGTTTGTGTATAACATGACATGGTTGCGTGTGTGTCACCTGGTGAATGACGTAAATCCCATAGTTGAGCTGTTGCCGCTGCAGGAAAGGATGTAGGTAGTACAGGAGGAACTTGAGGTGGTGTTCTCTGTGTCTGTGGGGAATGATGATGGCTGTTCGGTGCCTTGCCTCACAGTCAGGCGGCCTGTAGCGTCCTCCGCGCACCACCAGAGGATTCTTCCTCTGAACCTCTGCAAGAGTGAGGCCTGACGGGAAGCTGACGTGGATCGGCCCACCTGTGGGCAGAAGCCGGTCCGGTCATTAGCAGTCGGAAACCAGATACGTTTAATGGAGCGAAGGCAAATAGTCTGGGTAGAGAATGAGGGGCTAGGATTTGAATGAGACACGTGGGTTCAGCCGGATGTGTTCGGAAATGTTCTGACAAGCAATCGCACTAGAAACGAGGAAGACATTCTTTTCATCGACTCATTGTCAAACCCGTTTCAGGTTGTTTCTGCTCACTTTACGGCTGCCTGACAGAATGTTCAACAACCTTTATTTGTTGTTTTAGTTTAAGATGACTGGCAGTAATGTGGGGACAAAGGGCAGAGGGCAGAGCCCTGAAAACTAAGCCTGCTCTGACGGTGTTTCCCAGTCATACAGAGCAAACATTACACAGGATCAGATTAGCACTAGTAGGAATCCCATCTCTCAGCCTTCTTCAGTGGGTGGACTTTGTTCAGTTGTAATTTTCCAGCAAAGCTTTCCTCCATATGGGAACAATGGCTCAAGCAGTACAGAGCGGTCCTAACACGGATTATGAGTCGACCACGATATGATTGTGCATTGTTCTGTGAAAATTATGCAAGAAGAATTGACTGACAAAATTTACAATAAACCTTAAAGCTCGATGACACATGATGGAAATCATTCAATTTAAAAAAAGGACATCACTACTAATAATCTCAGCTGATAACTGGGGCCAAAATATCTTCCATTTGATCTGCTTGCTTGTTATAACCCTTCATCTTTGTTTCAGTTCACTTCCTGCTGTCTGCTATACTATTCAGTCAATTATTATTCAATTAATTTACTCAATTACGTTTTTGGCAAGAATTAATACAAAAGATAGCCAATGCCCTTTGGCTCAGTTGTCAGCATGTAGTGCAAAATTGCTGGCAAAGTTTTCCAAATAATACGGAGCCGAGTACTGAAATATTTAGAGCTCTAGTGCTATATTCATACTTCTAGACCACATTTTAGAGAAGTATTTTCATTTTGGCATTTCTGATCATCAGCAACAAAAAGAAAATGTACCGTACATCCACTGTAAAACAAATGAAAATGTTGTAGTTTGTTCAGGTTGCATACCCTGCACTCGGTACACCTCACATTACCTTGTTGCAGGCTGTATGCAGCCTATCAGACAGCAGATGAACCACCACTAACAGGCAGCAGCTGTGAACTCCTTACACATGTTTGAGCTAAACATAAAGTGTGAAAATAGAATTCTACTATTTACATAAAAAAATACACTTGAAGCAAAAACAAGTGCCCTCCCTCTGCTGGCTGTATACAACACAGCCATCACTACGGAGTGGAGTCTTAAAGATCCTCACATTTCAAATGAACAGAATTTAGCTTCATTAACTATTGATGGTTTCCCCGACAATTTATTTGCCGAGAGACCCATCAGCTGCTCTCAGTAACTCATATTCAGAAGGGAAAATAAATTAGTGATGATGTTATTCGGGGGAAATTGCCAAGCTTGTTCATAAATCAATGTATTTAGAGATTAACAGGCCGAATGACACAGAAGCAGACAGGACCACTCACCAATGAGAGGGGACGTGTTAGGGCAGTAAGGCATTGCGTCTCCATGGCCGTGGGTTTTGGATAGGTGGGAGAGGTTGGCGTATACGTCACCTCCAGCGATGCCCGCCGCCGTGTGGTTGCGGCCCGACAAGCTAGTGGTGTCAGGCTTGCGGAAGATGCGGATGAAGTAGGAGACCCTCTTCTGGTATCCCTCTCGGGACAGCAGCGCCATGACCACCAGCTGAATGCCCAGGAACATGAAAAGGTAGCGCCATTTGGACTGGATACCGATCATGGCGACGGCTCTGCGTTGTCAAAAGCAACAAGAGTTTTGGGGGCGAAGGACGTGTAGAAAGTCAGCTGGCGGAACGTGACCCCTCGGTGATTTAATCCTTGGAAGTAAGTAAGTTATCCCCAAGAAGAAGCAAAATTCAGAAAAGGGACAGTTGGCTGGTGCTGTGGCCCACACACAAAGTCAAATATACTGTGTACCTACTCTAAAATATGGCAACAGCTACTGAATGTGACGGTTACTTTATGTTAAGTTACATGCAATAATCTGTGGCAAGATGGAGTATGAATATATAAGAAAAATAGACAAAAAGGCACTTTTGGTAGGCTGTAATAGAGAAAGACCACCAAGGAAAGGAAAAAATAGAAAAATACTCTAAACCAAGAAAAGACTAAAGTATTGTCTAGTTAACGGTTTTTCACTGCATCCCTCGCTGCAGCCCACTATGTGGCAAATATCTCCAAAGTTGACAGTTGGTCCGATTTGTGATTGGTGTGGGGTGGTGATGCCAGTCCCACATCATGTACTTTCAACCCCATTGAATTCCATCCGTTGCCCCGTGAAGCTCATTCTTCTCCGGTCAAATAAATGGCAGCGTCAGTGTCTCTCACTCAACTCTCTCTCTTCCTCCCTTTGTGAGCTTTTATGCGGCTTTCTGTTCTCCCTCATGTGTTCTCCTGAGGGAGGCCTCTGCAACAACAACAACAGCCGCCGCCACCATGACAAAAGGGGAGCAAATGCAGCCGTATAGGCCCTATACTTTACAGAGGATTACACAGCTTCCATCGACTCACTGCCTGACTGGCTGTGGCTGGAGAGACGGGGGGGGGGGGGGGGGCTGTAAAGTATAGGGCCTATACGGCTGCATTTGCTCCCCTTTTGTCA